GAGCTGGAATCCCTCCAAATGGAGCACGCAGTCCGGGATCTGCTCGTTGAGCCATGTCTCCTTAAAGCACAAGACAGAAGAGGAAGAAAAGTCTCTGTTCCGTCTCATCAGCAACACCAGTTCATCCGTCTTGTTACTAAGTGAGCGGACATTTGAGAGGAAGATCCCAGGTAAGGGCGTACGTGAGCCGCGTCTTCGTAGACGCACGAGCACTCTCGCACGGTTACCTCTTCTACGGCGTCTCACTTTCTTAATAAAAAAGTGGAGCAAATTCGCCACACTCACTGAACAAACTGGAAGTAGGTCCGTCGGTGTTGATGATCTGACGTTTAGAAACTCTTCACGGGTGTAAGAGCACGCTGACACACAATTAACAGACAAAAACAAACAAAACACGACACACGTTAGCACCAGGGCGACCATCCTCGGCGCCATCTTGGTTACAGATTGAGCAGGAAGGACTTATAGTTAACAGAGTGGGTATTTAATAGAGCCATGCTGAGTGAGGTGGAGGAATCAGAAACTACAGAAACAGCTGGAGTTAGTGGACGTAAATTAGCAGAGTTAGATCCACGGTGTTTATAAAAACCACTTTTGGTGGGAACAGGAGGCGGAACAACTGAGGAATGAGGATAAACCGACCTTAAAAAACTTGGACGGAGAAACCGCGCCGCATTGCGGCCTGGCGGGAAAGGGGGAGTGGTGCTCAAGTCGCCAAACAAAGGAAAAGAAGATAGAAGATCACGCTGATGTTTACTAGATAAACCACGCTAAGAGAAGTCTTATTCTCACCAGGATTCTTGCTCGTTTACCTCTTTTCCTCCAACGTTTTCCCGGGACCGGATAAACATCGCTGGAGGCGCCCTGGTTAGAATCGTCGTTTGGCTCCGGGCCAGTGCGCCACTCAGATAAACAAGCAGGGAGGTACGTCCTTGGTGCATCTTGGGTGATCGTGAACGAACAGAAGGACAAAAGAGTCTGGTGATCATAGGAAATGGTAGCAGGGACACTACTGAAGAGGATTGCAGACAGGAGCATGGTGGAAAAGAGGAGGTTAGTGGAGAACAGTTTGAAAAAGTGGCCGGTTACTGCGGCTAAGCCAAGAATAGGTGCCATCTTGTTACCGACTGGAAGCGAGGTGACAATTATCCTTTAATATTCATCCGCTAGGTGCTGGCTTTGGGGCCACCTTTGTGTTGGCTTCACGTTTTTTTTACTCAATTACTGTCCCATGTTCTGTCGGTCGATCGGTTGGCCAGTCTCAAAAATGGAGGCACTGAACACCCACTCAGACTCATTGTCCTCCATCCGAACATTTTGGAAGTTCTGTCGGAGGTAGAAATTGAAGCTCCTTCTAAAAAAAGACTCTGCCGGACATTCCCAGGAGACCCTCCCAATACTTTTGGACCTGCCAGGTCTGACCGGAATCCTCCCCTGACATCGAAGCCAACACGTCAAATGGTAGTGGTTACTTGACAGCTCTGGCCCTCTCTTTACCCGAGTGTCCAAGGCATGTGGAGGCAGATCAGACGAAACAACAACAAAGTTGATCATTTTGCTCCAACCTAAGGTATCCTGGTGCCCAGGGCACACATGGACACCTTTATAACTGAACATAGGAAAATCCCTAAGTATGCCCACCCCTGCACTGCACCTCTCAGTGGGAGCAACTCTAGAGTGGTAGAGTGTCCAACCCTTCTCAAGGAAATTGGTTCTGGAGCCAGAGCCATGCATCAAGGTCAATCCAGCTATATCTAGTCATAACTTCCAACCTCACACACCAACTCAGGCTCCATCCCCATCAGAGACATGGCATTACATGTGCCAAGAGCCAGCTTCTATATTTGAGGATCAGACTCTGCATCTGTCAATCCAACATATTCTAGCTGGTCGTACAAGACACATTAAACATTTAAATTGGATAATGGTGTGTGATCTACAATTCAAATAGTTTTGCCGTCCTATGTTTTTACAGGCTCTACAACTGATATCACAACCCAGATTACAACACCTTCATCCACATTTGTGGCAGGTAAGACTTTAACATGTTTATCCATCTGTCAGTTTGTGTATTTGCCTTCCTCCCTGCCTGTATGTCTACCTGTCAGTCTCTCCATCCGACCATCTGTTTGTTGGTTATTTCTTAGCTGATCATGCTTACATTTTTCAGACTCAACAACCCAGATTATTGAAACGACATCTCCATTCACATTTGTGACAAGTAGGAACTTTAAATGTCTATCTGTCTGCCTCTTTCAATGACTAAAAATCCTAGGCCAACCATCCGTGATATCACAAACAGATTTCCGAGGACTGAGTTTGCCACCAAGTAGGTGATTTTGATCACTGCCATCTTGGCAGTGTCACGCATCTTGTCACATCCAGACAATCTAAAAAAGGACAAAGAGGTGGAGCTGAGAGAAAGGCTCTGAGGATCTGAGTCAACCATAACTCTCCAAGCTAAGTGATCATACCGAATGTTTGCTGGTACTTTCAGGCAGAAAACAAAAGGTTGACGACTACAATGTGAAGCACGCATAAACTCACAGAGCTGCGGTGTGTCTGTGGTCTCCCTCAGAGAGCTCTACAGTTAGCTCAAGTGATTACAGCTTTGTAAGGGAGCAGGGCAATCGTGTCATATTGCTGCCCATGGTCGTTGAGAGCAGCTTGTGGGAGGTAGGAGCAGCCGGGACAGCTGTAGGACGCGGCTGCCTCGGAAGATTGGAGCGGAAGATTGATGGGTCTCTGACCGCGTTGGACCAGCGCAGCCCGGAAACCTCAGTTAGCTTTGGTTAGCTACCTTAATTTAACTTTTGGTACCCAGCCAGCCTTAAGATGATGTGGGTCATAGTTTTATAATTTGGATGTTTTGATTTACTGTCGAATCAGACTTTGACACAAAAGAGGTTTTAACAAACACCACCGAAACCAATTAACCCTGAGAAATAAGTAGTTGTAGTTTGTCGAAGCTTATTTTTATAAAGCACAAAACTATTTTTCCAGGATAAGTAGGACTCCTGGTGTGTAGAGCGCCATGTTCTCTCCAATTTCCTAGAGTTTTGTTTTAAATTACGTAAATGAGAATTAAACCAGGGAGCCAACTTCCTATCCCTAATTACCTTCTTTTTAAAAGGGGCAACATCATCTAATGCCACCCATAAAGAGGAAGTAACATTATGAACTAAAGCATCAATTTGTGAAGGGCTAGAAATAAAAATATTGCCCTCTGCTACGTTCCTCTGAGATGCTGAAGATTGTAAAGATGGCACAGTTGATATAAAAGATGCAACAGTGTTGTCAGATAGAGACCGACTATAGTGAAATTTACTTTCATGTCTCGAGAACTCAGTTATAAAAAACTCAAAGGTTATCAAAAAAGTGATCTGAGAGGACTGGATTATGTGTAAAGATCGTTATTTCCTCACACTCTATGCCATAAGTCAGCACAAGGTCTAATGTATGATGGCAGGAGTGGGTGGAGCTATGTATTCTTTGAGTAAAACCAATTGAGTCTAAGAAATTACTAAAGGCTACATTGAGACTATCATTTTCAATGTCCACATGAATGTTAAAATCCCCCACTACAATGACCTTATCAGTATTTAGCACCAAATCAGATAAAAGAATCAGAGATCTGTTCCAAAAACTCAGAGTAAGGTCCTGGTGGATGATACAAAACTACAAACAAGAGTGGTTTTACAGTTTTGCAATCTGGATTAGAAAAACTAAGAATAAGATGTTCAAAAGAACTGTAACTATTAATTGGTAAGGGATTGATTAATAGGTCTGAATGAAAAATGGTTGCTACTCCTCCTCCTCGCCCTGTACTTCGAGCAATATGATGATTTAAATAATTAGAAGGAGTCGACTCATTTAAACTAACATAGTTCTCTTGCTGCAGCCAGGATTCTGTGAGAGAGAGCAAAGAGATCTGATTATCACAAATCAAGTCATTAGCTAACAAAGTCTTAGAAAAAATAGACCTAATGTTCAACAACCCACATTTCATTTTTCTAATTTTCTGTTCAGTTGAATTTGTTCTAATATTTATGAGATTTCCATGATTTGCTTTATTAAGCCTGATATTTAATCTGTGTGGTTTTGGCCGTGGGCAGGACACTATCTCTATGGGGTAGTGGGTGGGTAACAGTACAGAAGCTGCAGAGGGGTGTGTTAAACTACGACTCTGCTTCCTGGTCTGGACCCTGGGTTGTCATGGAGGACTAATAAAATTGGCCATGTTCCTAGAAAGAAGAGCTGCTCCATCCAAAGAGGGATGGATGCCGTCTCTTCTCTACAGGTGGTTCTGTGATTGGCTTCTGTTCACTTTCTTACATCATAGCTCATCCCAGTGTGTGAATGTGTGTGTGAATGGGTGGATGACTGATTGTTTTGTGAAGCACCTTGGGGGGTTGTAGAACCCTAAGAAGGTGCTATACAAATACAGGCCATTTACCATTGTGAATGAGTAGCCTCTCAGCCCCCTCCACCCCTTGTAGGAAAATAGCGCATTTGCAACTTGAGTCTGTTGACCGTAGATCTGAAGTCATTTAAGCATTCTGTGAAAAGCATTAAAGCTGCCAGGGCAAATCTGCAAAACAAGATATATTTTAAATGCAAACACTGTCACCCCTAAGCTATGTCCCCCTGATATGAGAAACTGCATAGCCACAGTAAATATGTTTTCTACGTCCATATGGCTTGTTTTCCATGAAGTCAAATGTCACTTTTCTTTTTGGGACTTTGGTAGTGGAAGCAGCCAGCTGTCTCTCCTTCTCTATTATTGAGCAAAGTACCCCTCACACCAGTAGTGTTCTGTTCCAAAACTGTGCAAACGTGTAAAGAGCAGGAGACTCAGGTAAGTGTGGAAATGCCGTAGTTCCAGTGAGACAAACAACCAGATGATCCAATTGTTGCTTTTAGACCAATCCATTTTATTGTTAGAGGTTTTTAAACAAATGTGAGATAACCAATTGATATTTTTTTCTATTTATTTCCAAATATTTATAGCTGTACTATGTTAGAACATTGTTAAAAGGCATGGAAAAATGTTTTAAGGTAGCCTGTTTTGTAGATTTGCCTTTATTTACCTCATCTTAATCTCAAACCTTTTTCCTATATTGGCCTTTTCCAAAGCTACAACTGCTGATGCTACCGCAGCAACTCCAACTTCTTTCTCAACAACTCCAACTCCAACACACGTTTCCAATACAACTACAACTTCTATCTCGACAACAACGCCTGCAACTCCTGCCTTAACACCAACTACAACTCCTGCCTCAACACCAATTACAACTCCTGCCTCAACACCAATTACAACTCCTGCCTCAACACCAATTACAACTCCTGCCTCAACACCAGCTACAACTCCTGCCTCAACAACTACAACTACTGCCTTAACACCAACTACAACTCCTGCCTCAACACCAGTTAAAACCCCTGCCTCAACACCAATTACAACTCCTGCCTCAACAGCAATTACAACTCCTGCCTCAACACCAATTACAACTCCTGCCTCAACACCAATTACAACTCCTGCCTCAACACCAACTACAACTCCTGCCTCAACACCAACTACAACTCCTGCCTCAACACCAATTACAACTCCTGCCTCAACAGCAATTACAACTCCTGCCTCAACACCATTTACAACTCCAGCCTCAACACCAATTACAACTCCTGCCTCAACACCAACTACAACTCCTGCCTCAACACCAACTACAACTCCTGCCTCAACACCAACTACAACTCCTGCCTCAACACCAACTACAACTCCTGCCTCAACACCAATTACAACTCCTGCCTCAACACCAATTACAACTCCTGCGTCAACACCAATTACAACTCTTGCCTCAACACCAACTACAACTCCTGCCTCAACACCAACTACAACTCCTGCCTCAACACCAATTACAACTCCTGCCTCAACAGCAATTACAACTCCTGCCTCAACACCAATTACAACTCCAGCCTCAACACCAATTACAACTCCTGCCTCAACACCAATTACAACTCCTGCCTCAACACCAATTGCAACCCCTGCCTCAACACCAATTACAACTCCTGCCTCAACACCAATTACAACTACTGCCTCAACACCAATTACAACTCCGGCCTCAACACCAACTACAACTCCTGCCTCAACACCAATTACATCTCCTGCCTCAACACCAATTACAACTCCTGCTTCAACACCAATTACAACTCCTGCCTCAACACCAATTACAACTACTGCCTCAACACCAATTACAACTCCTGCCTCAACACCAACTACAACTCCTGCCTCAACACCAATTACAACTCCTGCCTCAACACCAATTACAACTCCTGCCTCAACACCAATTACAACTCCTGCCTCAACACCAACTACAACTCCTGCCTCAACACCAACTACAACTCCTGCCTCAACACCAACTACAACTCCTGCCTCAACACCAATTACAACTCCTGCCTCAACACCAATTACAACTCCTGCCTCAACACCAATTACAACTCCGGCCTTAACACCAATTACAACTCCTGCCTCAACAACTACAACTCCTGCCTCAACACCAATTACAACTCCAGCCTCAACACCAATTACAACTCCTGCCTCAACACCAATTACAACTCCTGCCTCAACACCAACTACAACTCCTGCCTCAACACCAATTACAACTCCTGCTTCAACACCAATTACAACTCCTGCCTCAACACCAATTACAACTCCGGCCTCAACACCAATTACAACTCCGGCCTCAACACCAATTACAACTCCTGCCTCAACACCAATTACAACTCCTGCCTCAACACCAATTACAACTCCTGCCTCAACACCAATTACAACTCCTGCCTCAACACCAATTACAACTCCTGCCTCAACAACTACAACTCCTGCCCCAACACCTACAACTACTGCCTCAACACCAATTACAACTACTGCCTCAACACCAATTACAACTCCTGCCTCAACACCAATTACAACTCCTGCCTCAACACCAATTACAACTCCTGCCTCAACAACTACAACTCCTGCCTCAACACCAATTACAACTCCTGCCTCAACACCTACAACTCCTGCCTCAACACCAATTACAACTCCTGCCTCAACACCAATTACAACTCCTGCCTCAACACCAATTACAACTCCTGCCTCAACAACTACAACTCCTGCCTCAACACCAATTACAACTCCTGCCTCAACAACTACAACTCCTTCCTCAACACCTACAACTACTGCCTCAACACCAATTACAACTCCTGCCTCAACACCAATTACAACTCCTGCCTCAACAACTACAACTACAACCCCCATCATCAACCACGGTAATGTTGCTTTGAAATTTCTCATATAGCTCAGAGATATTGAATTTACCCTAAGATATTTGGATATTAATTATTTTATGGTAAAATATGAGATAAAGTGTTAAAATACTTTGTAAAACAAAAAAAGAAAGTTGTCTTGTGATTTTTTCTATGTAATCTTTGTGAAACACCTACAAGTGTCTTAGAAAACAAGTCGCCTCGGCCCCAAAAATACAAATCTGACCTGTGTCTGAAACCAAATTCCGGTGCCGTTCGATACCGTTTTGGGGCCGTGCCGACGCTAATGTGTAAGATCTATTGGCTGTCCCAGTCTGCCTCTGAAGGAACTGTCCATGGTTTCCAAAGTGGAATGCAATAGGTAGGAGGGTTTTTTTTTTTAGATGGAGGCCATCTTCCCCAGCATCCTCATTTCATGCTAGTCATGTGTTGTTCGCAAATGAAACAGCTCTTAGAGCCAGTTCTTTGAAGTGACCGATCAGAGCTGGCTCCGTTTCGGAGGAGCCGAATCAGAGGTATTTTTTTCTTTTCTCGCTCCCTTTCTTTCACCGTGTTTAGCCGCACGTGAATGGTCAACTCTCTGCTCCTCGTCTGCAGCAAGCAGGAGGAGGAGCGGAGAAGCGGGGCATACAGACAGGTACTGGTGTAAACTCACAGAGCAGCGGAAGGAGAAGGGTGAGAAAGAGGAGAAAAAACAGTCTACAGAAAGTTGAGGACATGAGTTATGAGCGTCTTGAATAGCAGCTGTCGTGGTCTGCCTGTATCTGCTTTATTCTACATGTTTGTGTGTGTAACCTTGGTCAGGCTGTACTGCAGAGACAAATTTCTATGCTTCAGGATGCAGGGGCATTGACAATAAAGTTGATTCTGATTCTAAAATGAAGCCAGATTTGGACACATTTTTGCCAATATTGATAATTCAAAGGAAGAGTGTGGACTATGCAAAGCAAACATATCTTCTCAAGCAGGCTCAACAGATGTTCCTGTGTGATTATCTCAGCTTTTCTAAGTTTTTTACCTGTAAACGTCTATAAATATTTGACTTACAGAGTACATTTTTGTTATTTAAAAATTATTTTGTTGCGCTTTGTTTAGTGCTGATAGTTAGAATTTATTTAAAAGGATACTATGCAACTTTTTCATGTTTTTAAATAATTTTCTTGAGCCAGTATGTGTTAAAATGCCCTTTTACAGGATTAATGAAAAGTCACTCAGACCCCACCATCCTCTGTAGCCAGAATAGCACACTTGCTTCTAGCAGGTTTCCTGCATGTTTTAGATAATGAACACATCTGATTAGTTTGATTTATTGATTAATCCCTTCTGTAGATGCGAATGATGGCTGGGGAGACATTTCACTCAGAGAGGAGATTGCTTTTGGTTCTACTAAATGGACACTAGGTGCTAAAGACAAGCCAAAACTGCATAGTAAAAAGTTGATTTTATGTAAGTGTATAAATTGGTCAATAATTTCACATACTTTAACATAATTTCTGGTGATAAATTAATTTAAAAAAATGTGAAGAGCCATTTGAGAGCCAAAAGAGCTGGTTCATTTTAGTGAGCCAATCTTTAGGAACCAGTTCTCTTAAAAGAGCCAGAGTTCCCATCACTATTTCACACGTCTCCTCAACTGAATCTAGTTGACAGCCCAGAACCGAGCTAGCTTTTTTAATTAGCTTGCGCAGTCTCTTCCTGTCTTAGTCAGAGCTGCCTGCACCCCAAAAGACCACAGCAGAGTGGATAACAGAGCCAACAACAGAGTTTTAGCAGATGAGAATTAACTCAGAAGGACCTCAGCTTTGGCCCTTCTTATATTAAGTACCAGTTCAGTTTACTGTTGACGTGAACACCCAGGTACTTAAAGGTATCCACCACCTCAATGTCTGCTCCCTGGATGTTTACTGGTGAGTGAGGAGGAGTGTTTCTCTCGAAATCAATCACCATTTCCTTTGTCTTACCGACAATGGCTGAGTAATCAGAGAACTTCTGGAGATGACAGCTGCTGGTGTTGTAGGTGAAGTCAGAGGTATAGAAGATGAATAGAAAGGGTAAGAGCACCGTACCCTGTGGAGCTCCAGTACTGCAACCACGTCAGGTGTACAGTTGTGCAGCCTCACGTACTGTGGCCTGTTGGTGAGGTAGTTGATGGTCCATGCAGTCAGATGTGCGTCCACTCCTGCACCCCTCATCTTCTGCTGCAGTAGACATGGCTGGATGGCGTTGAAGGCACTTGAGAAGTCAAAGAGCATGATTCTCTCTGTGCTTTTTTGCATCTCGAGGTGAGTCAGAGCCCGGTACTGCAGGTAGATGAGGTGCCCTCCACCCCCATGTTTGGTTTATATGCAAATTGCCGTGGATCTATCTCTGGGCTCACCATGGAGTGCAGATGGGTGAGAATGAGTTTCTCCATAATTTTCATCAGATGGGAGGTCAGGTCGACTGGTCTTTGAATTAGTTACAGAAATGTACTGACCATGAGCTATAAAATGGTTTGAAAACAAAAGTTATTTTATTCAAATGTTTTTTGTAATTTGTGTTTATTATTGCTAACTGACTGTATGCTGTTCAGTGTTTGTTGCAGATAATCTAAACAAACATAAATTTTGTTTTTTGCAAACAGGAATTGACATACATATGTCAGTAAAATTAAACAAGACGTTCATCCCAGATTATAACAACAAACAGAGTGTTAAATACCAAGAGCTTAAAGCTGCTGTTTTGCCTGTGGTAAGTATTACTACAGTAATAAAAGGTAGGTTTTGTGCTTGTGTTTTAATGTTTAGCTCAGAAATCTTGTTTTTGTTTTTAACAGTTACAAAGCGTTTACAGCAGTAATAATGGATTTTCAGAAGTTTCGTTGATAGGGTTCAGGTACATTCATTTTGACATTACCAAAACTGAAATCTCTTGAATCTTACAATTTAAATGCAGTTTGTAATTTTTATTTTTATTTGTATTTTTTACAGACAAGGAAGTGTTATCACAGACTTTACTGTAACAACATCCCAAGATAATATATCAGTGATATCTGTCGCTAATAAAAATATCGTAGAACAGATGAAACCAGTTGCTACTGTCATTGGACGGGTTGCTGCACAGTACAACAGTAAGTTAACTAAAGCAAACTACATTTATTTGACAGGTTCAACACACAAATCTACAACATGCACTAGATGTGATTGTTGGACTAGATCTGACATTTGATGAGTTTACAAGTGTCTCATTGGAAGTAGCTGTAATCAAATCTTTTATTTTCTTTCTCCATAGGTAAAGAAAATGTGACTTTATCTCCTGTCACCATTTATACTGGTCAAACCATGAATCTGATATGCGACCCCCATAACATTAATATAGGAAAGGTTACAGAAGCAAGTTGGACTTTAAATGGATTACAAATCACCTCAAAGAGGATGACACCATATACTTCTGAAACTCGGTCTACACTGACAATTACAAATGTCATTCTCTCTGATGCTGGTGAGTAAAATCCAACCCAATGTGATCAGAAAATATTCTTAATGATCACCTATGGTCTGTGTGTGTGTGTGTGTGTGTGTGTGTATGTGTGTGTGTGTGTGTGTGTGTGTGCACTTAATAGAATGAAAGATTTTCTTTCAACATTACAAACTTCTCAAGTTACCATCACCAAAACGATATCCTTTGTTTCACATTTCACTAGAGTCACACATTTCTTTGTTTAAAGGTCAAATAATTTTTACCATTTTAAATTCCTAATTAGTAATATAAGAGTCAGACCATGTAAAATAACCGATCAGCCTTTTTTCTTAGGTTTATTTGGGACATTATGTTACCTTTTTAAGGTTTAATAGTTCTATGGTATATCCAAAATACGTTCTTGAAGTATTTGGAATAAAAATCTTTTTCTCATAAAGCGACCTCACTAGCTGCTTCCTGCTTTCTCTGCCAACGGCGTTATACTTGAAACGTTGCGCCACATTAAAATGATTCATATCCAGAAATAACTAACATTGCCTTCCAAAAGTATTCATACTTTTACAAATGTTGGCACCTTACAACCACAAATTGAATTGTTAAGTAGCAAGGTAGTGCATATGTGTGAAGTGGAATGAAACTGATACATGGACATGCATTTCTTTTCTCCTCCCCTATGTCTTACTTTGTAGAGCCACCTCTTGCTGCTATTACTGCCGGAGGTCTTCTGGGTTGTCTTTACCAGCTTTGCACATCTAGAGAGTGTAATTTTGGCCAAATCTTGGCTGCAAAATAACTCAAGATACCCCAGATAGAATGGACAGTGTCTATGAACAGCAAGTCTTGCCTCAATTGCTCGCTGGGATTTAGGTCTGGACTTTGACAGGGCCATTCTAACACATGATTATTCTTTCATCTAAACCAGGGGTCCCCAAAATATTTTCTTTGAAGACCCCCTTGCTGGTGTCCAAGACAAGCCAGGACCCCCAACCCCAAGTCCTACACACATACACACATTAAATGTGACCAGTTACTATCTTTATACAGAGGTATAACTTATATTTGGAGTTCTGTCATTATGTTATTGGGATTTTATAGGTGTTATTTTTTCAAATGAAATCTTGTTAACCACACAACCTTAGCAAAGACAAAATTGTTGGGACCCCCTGCAATCTTGTGGGGACCCCCTTGGGGGCCCAGACCCCCAATTTGGGAACCCCTGATCTAAACCATTCCATTGTAGCTCTTGATGAATGTTTAGGGTCATGGTCTTACTGGTCAGTGAATCTCCTTCCCAGTCTTCAGTACTTTGCAGCTTCCAACAGGTTTTCTTCCAGGATTGCCCTGTATTTAGCTCCATCTATGTTCCCATCAACTTTGACCGGGTTCATTCTGTGTTTCTTATCAGATGCAATTTTTTTTCTTCTTCACTATACAGAGAGTAACTAGAACCAATGTAAAAAAACACAAACTCCATTAACTCTGTATAGTGAAGAACCAGAAGAAGTTAGAATGCAAACATAACTCTTTTTTGTCTTTCTATCAAAACCTATTAGAAATGTATGTCAACTAGTTTCAACTTTGAATTCAAGGAAAATTTGCAAATTAAAAAAAAACACAAGAAATTAAATTAAATGCCTGCATGATTGTGTACCGTAATTTCCGGACTATAGAGCACACCTCAATATAAGCCTCACCAACAAAAAGAAAAGGTTTTCTACACACACGCCGCACTCGAATACAAGCCGCGGCGCAGCAGCCACATGCAGGTCTCCGGCGCACAGCGCATGTACGGCCATAACATAAGATAATTAGACAGAAAGACGCTACACGGAGGTTTTTCGTTGTTGTTTTAATGCAACAAAATGAATTTTAAACACGGGTGAACGTGCCTGCAAGTGTAGAAAAGAAAGCAGCACTGATAGCATTCATATTTCTGGATGTTATAAAATAAAAACAGCACTGACACGTTATTACCGGTCATTTGCATGTTTAGAAGAAAAGAACAGCGCTGACACAGCATTAATAAGCCCTGGATGGTTAGAAAATAAAAACTGCACACAAAACATGCCTGGTTAGTAAATAAAACACACTTGTCTACCAGAAGAAGTCATTTGCTCTCATCTTCCTCTTGTGCACTAAAGCCATTAAAGTCCTCTTCTTCAGTGTCGGAGTTGAACAGCCTCAGAAGAGCTTCGTCACATACCTTTTCTGTGGCGATGTCAGTGTCGCTGTCCGTGTTGCTGTCATCATCCCCGGGTGAAGCTGGCTTGAACAAGTTCTTCCCGCTGCCGTCTCCAGCGCCGAACCATGGATCCATTCATGCCAAGCTTACGTGTGGCAGCGCTGTTTCCCTCCATCACTGCCAGATCGATGGCCTTCAACTTAAACGCGGCATCATATGAACTCATACATGTAGTTACCATGATGAGGGGGTATGGATTTGAAACAAATTCTTCGTCGTGCCGGCTGCTTGCATGTGCTAAATTAAAATGAGCACTTTCTTCGATTTCCACTTTTGACTTCCACCTGTTTCACGTTCTGCTAAAGCGCCCCCTAGTGGCAGGTGAAGGAAAATCTCATTATAAGCCGCACGGTTCAAAGTGTGGGGAAAAAGTAGCGGCTTATAGTCCGGAAAATACGGTAGTTGGTGGCACCTGTGGTGGAATGTAACAATACAAATACTTACTGTACTTAAAGAGACAATGTGTAGCTTTTACCATTCATTTCTGGAAATATCCATTGAAATGTTGTTTTATATTAAATAAAAGATGCCCAGTTGTTGAAAAATATTGGCATATTCAATTCAATTCAATTCAATTCAATTCAATTCAATTCAAAGATACTTTATTAATCCCAGAGGGAAATTAGAACGCTTCTTTGCTTTATTGTCCTTGAAACAAGTTATATGAAGCCTTTGCTAAAGAAGCACAAACACGATTTTAATTGTTCTTTAAAACTAAACTGTAAAACTACTTTTCACAGCAGAACACAGATGAACTACGGTCTGTACTCATGTGTAGACAGCTTCACTCTTCACCTCTAAGCTTAATAAAAACACTCTGTTGTCCCTAAAACAAATGACAAGTTTAATGCGCTACACACACACACACACACACACACACACACACACACACACACACACAGACGAGAATAACTACAGGACCTGCGATACAAACTCGTTCTGGCTGATTTCTGCCTAAAATGTAATTTAAAAAACAAATGTACAAACAAAAAATGTCTATAAACTGAACCGCTTTAAGGTTTTTAGTTTTCTACCACTAGTTTTTAAACAAACTTACGTTTAAAACTTCGTAGCTCTCCCCATTTTCTCATCCTCTTGAAAATCCACAGCTGGCGCACATCGCATACTGGGATAGCCTTGTTCTGTGAGGATACAACAGACCCGTCCTCGAAATGTGGGTGGAGCAAGGATGCGAGAATGAGTATTCTCGCTGAGCTGTGACATCATCAACCTCAAAATGCTCTCTTACGAGTATCCTTCCCACGGATTCGGACACATCCATAGACCCGCTCCCATGTATTTTAGACCCGCTTTTTATGGTTATATGTTATGAAACTGTCAATATTTTTAGACAACTGGGCATCATTTCATTCATTAACAACACCATTTCAATTGATACTTCCAGGGATAAATGATAAAAACTACACATTGTCACTAATTGAGCTTTACCAAAACCAAGTTTCAAGAGGCAGGGTCACATGCTGTGGGTGTGCAGTCCGCTAGAAAATCACAAAGAAGAAACACTAGAGAAAATTGCCAAAGTTTAGGTGTAGAATGTGCTACGACCACCATATAGATAGAGCCTTCTCTTGCTTTCCTACAGATATTAACTCCCGTAAGACAGATTTCCTCCCTCTTTGGTAACCTTTTAGCTCGGTTTTGATTGAGGAACCTTTTGGCGGCTCTGTTTGAATACGTAAGCAACAGTCTTTACTAGTTGGGTTCATTTACTGAACGCCAATGCAACTGCTGTACTGAAGGACTTTTGCTCCTCTTCAAAGGGAGCGAAAAGTGGTAAGTTAGCAGTTTCCTTCATCATTACCTGTGCAATACATTCTTCTGGTTTATCGTCAATGCCAACTCTTGTGATTGCGTAATCTTTGATGTTCTCATACTCTGAGTCACGCCATAGGAACCTATGCAGCTCTACATCCTTCTCTCTCATCCAAACAGAACTTGGCATCTTTTCTGTGACTCCAAGTGTGACGTACGTTCCTTCTTTGAACCACAGGAGGAGAGCACTGTCACACTCTGTCCTGTCTCCCCGTTCTGTTCAGTGTCCCTGTTAATTGCTCCTACCTGCCTCTCGTCACCCAATCGCCCAAGGTCCCAGCTCCTCCTGAATTTAAACCCTGTCAGTCCTTTTTGTCTTGTCGGTTCATCATTTCATTGTCCAGCATGTTCTTAATTAAAGCCTTTAATCGTTTCTGTGTGCCTGCCTACCTGCTTTCTCCTGCGAATGGATCCTCACCTCCAATAATCTCACTGTTGCGTACATGGCAAGCACACATTGAATTCCAGATGTTGGGGTCTTTTATCCATAGGTCGCTCATGTTTACTCCTTTGAAGCTTTGCTGCTCCAAACAAGTCTGATCAAATTTTGTTATGGCGCATGGTTAGGGCAATGAGATGACTGACATCCCACACTGGACCCTCCCACTTGGTGATTTACTACTGGAACAGTTGGATTGCAGCTTGTTGATCATATTGTGGACTTGCTCAGCTTATGCAGTTTTTCACTCAGGTTGTTCGGTTGCTTCTCTGTTCCCAGAAATGTGGCGTCCACAGAGGAAACTCTGGTGCCGCATGAGGAAGATCAAGATAACTTGTTAAATTACTGATGTAAGACTACTATAAAAATAGACCCGACATAAACAGAATAATAACTAATAAAACACTGATAAAAGATAATTAAGTAAAACGAATTAAACGTGTCAAATGGGCCATGAGAAATAATACAGGTTAAAACCTTTTAAATTTTTAATAATGACTTAAATCATCCATATGACCATAAGCTCATGTTCTGCTCATTTTTTCAAAAATAAGCAATCTGTAATTTTGCTTTTCTTAATCAGGATTTTATGAATGTACCCTCGGGGGAGATGTGGATTTCTACCAAAGTTTAAATGTGACAACCACGAACATTTTTGCTGCTCCAGTTGTGCAAGTCCAGAATGAAATCTCTGTTTCTTGCACGGATGGAACTGCGTCAAAATCACTTCAGTGTTGTGTTCAGCCCCCTTTCAAAGTTCAGTGGTATGATGGCTCAACTGCAGGTAAGCAGGAACTGATAATTATAATATATTAAGTTTCAATATTCATATTTGATGAACTCCGATGTTAAATTTTCGCAGTTGGTTCTGAAGGCTCAAACTGCATCACATACGATAGTTCGACACACAACTGTGAGGGACTTCCAAGACAAACATTCACATGTAAAGTGACAGACCCACCAAATTTACCTTTCCAGGAAACAACAACACTGAACGTTCTCACACAAGGTAAGAGCAAAGTACTTGGGTTCTATTTTGTGTAGACTCTGCCCTTTAAGACTGTCTATTGGATAAGCCATTCTCGGATTAGCCAATGGCTGAAGGGCTTTCAACATACACCCACCTACCTTGGTCCCTATCACGGTGCTAGCCCTGCCCTCGTCTCCCATTCTTCTCTTCACAACCACTTTGCTAGGAGCTCAATCTGAAGTTTTGTGGTGTTAACTTGCTAATACACGTATTGATTTGGAAATGAATGACCATACCTCAGCTCTTTGTCCACCTCATGGCAGTGAGTGGCAACCTCTAACACAGGTATGTTCCAGACTCTGGCACCTTCTGTGCCACTATGCCTTCAGCTACAAGCTCCCTGCCGAGTGGACGTCTTCACGTTAGCGTCCGATGACATCTCCTGGTGGTTAAGGCTTATCTGCTGGACTTAGTACTCCAGCTGAGGATGATAAGGATGAGGCTGGCCGCAGTTGCCCTCCCACCCCTCCTGGTCCATCCAGAGGTCAGTGAGGCCTCCCCCCCCAGGCATCCATTCCAAGCACCTCACCAGCAGAGCAAAACTCAAGGAGCTGCCTGCCATCTCCTCACCGGTCTCTGACAGCGAAAGCCTCGACATTCTGACTGGTTCCATTCAGACGACTTGGCATGAAGTTTGGCGCAACACAGGTCCACTGCCCTGAAGTCATCTGGCCACAGCTCCCAGTCACCATGGATTATTGAGCCAGAACCACACCTGAACTTTCCTCGCACAGGACTTCAATCTCCATCGAACCGTACCTGACACACCAGTTCCTGCCTTCAAGCACAACCAGGTCTGCACAGCACATCACTCACAGCAATGTGTTTCAGAAGTGCACTGCAGGAGACAACATCAAGCCTTATCGCCTCCATCTTCTCTATTATGAGCACGGTCGAGCCTAAAGGCATCATCAGTGCTGCTGACACAGTTCCCAGCCTTTGTGCTGCTGCTGGTCAGTGCTGCAACTTTTGCTTCCTGGCAGACTTTCATCCAACATCCTCTGTGTCTGAATCGCCTGCCCCCATCCCTGAACACCTGCAAGAGGAAGTACTGGAGGATTTAACCCGCCCTGATGTTCTGTTTCACCCTCGCTTCAGTCATCGGGTGGGCACAGGAAACAGCAGGTTTGTCTGCCACTGTTTGTGACCCGGGTCGGCTCCGATTTGGTTTTCATCCCCAGCTCTCCTCCAGAGAATTGGAGGACTGCCTTCAGTCTTTTAATCTGTGGGTCAATCCAAACGACCATCAGCACCTGGTCCTCCTTGGAACCGGCCCACCTACTGCTTCAGCGTAGTGGAGACTGTTCAAAAGGCTAGCCAAGTAAAAAGGAGCAATTCCCTGAAAGGATTCATACACCAGAGTTAGCACCTTGCATCCCTGCATCAATCACCATATATGTTAAAAAAACAGATGTGTTGGCTCTGTTTTCCTGTGTGGTACAGCCAGCAGCATGAAGATCTGCCTCACTGCATTGCCGACTTATGCTGCGGGCTAGTCTCGGCTCCCCCGCTCCTCCTCCCATGTGGGTTAGACCAGGATGATGAGCTGAACTCTTGTGAATAACATCACTTAGTCATCGAGCATCAGCGGTGACGGAGTTTCCCAGTTCCACCTGACCAAGCTCTGCCGCCCTCATGCAAACGCACTGTCCCATGGCAACGCTTGACTGCGATCACGCACCTCGTGATGTGAATGAGATAGGTTGTGCTTTTCACAAACACGTTCTGCATCAGAGCACTCGTCTTCATGATGACTTTCTCTTGATGTTATGGAGAATCCTTTCCGGAGAGTCTCCTCTGCGCGCTCACATTCAGAGTTGTGGTGTGAATCAGCTTGGTTCTGCTTTCCAGGGGCGGAGATCCCATTTTATTTTTGGGGGGATAGTAAACAGTGACATTTGGGGGGGGGGGCATAAAAATAATGGCTGTCTCCTACTGTTTGGCAACTTGCAGAGTGGGCCTTCAGCATGAGCAAGATCACTAAAACACCAATGGATCAGAGACGAGATGTCAGAATATTTGGAAATAACTCCAAATCCCGCCTTTTTCTGCTCCCCTCTCCTCCAACTAACTTCTGGTTCCTGAAAGCAGGAACACCAGAGCTTTTTCCCTCAGAGATGGACTCACATGGCGTTCTAGACAGGTAAGGCATAGTAGAAATCACTTCAGATGTGTTAAAAAAACAAGTGAATTTGGTCTTTCAATACATAATGTTGGAAATAAATATGGAAACTGTCTGTATAATCTAATAGAACAATCCTGGGGTGACTAAGTTATACAAAGTAGAAGCTATTGATTTATCTTCTGTAGTCTGTCACTTCAGCTGTGATCAGCAGCAACACCAACAGATGATCAGACCTGCTGCATCAGTGTCACAACCAGGTGAAACATTAGAAACCAAGATGAATATCGGTCAGATTTACTACCTAAAACTGACGTCAGCGTGGTTTCAGCGCTGATGTAGATGTTTCAAACACCAAAACATTTGGGACATTTGTTCTTTTAAATGATTGTCAAAAGTGCACTTTAACCCTCTGGAGGCAGGTGTTGTGGATTAGCAACGTTAAAACCTACCTACCTGGTTACTCCACACGCGTGTTTCATGAGCATTTTTTTACTCAGAAGTACCCCTGAAGGACTTAGTTGTTCGTCCTTTTATCAAAACTTATTTTGAGCCTGAGAGGGTTAGCATCCCACCCATGGGACAAAACCCTATTGCGTTCATAAAACCTGGAAATTTAAGGGGTTAATTTGCTGCTCATCTGAAACATTAAATAGATTCATAGTTTTATCCAGTCTGCCTAATAAATGATAAAACACTACCTATCAGGTTTAAAGGATTTGAGATTTCTTAAACTTAATTCCTACTTCTGCAGTTGTTGCAGTATAATAATTAATATAAATGTTTTTTATATATTAAATCTTAAGAGGTAATGTCGAAGCTGAACACCTGTGGAAACCCTCCAAACTGGAGGTGCGTAGCCTCTATCTCAAGGATCGTATGTCACCATACAACGTGATGGTCGAATTATATTCATCAACCAGTAACTTCAGCTAAGAAAAATCCCAAAGCGTTATTTGACACAATAAAGGTGCTTGTATGTCCTGCTGCTCCAGTTACCCGTTTTCTCTGAAGCAGACAGTAACGCCTTTTGGAAACTTTTCATTGACAAAATGAAGTTGATTAAAGATCAAATTCCACGTTTTTCAGGGGGCACTCCTGCTGTCAGCGAGCCCGTCCCCAGCATGTGGTCTCCATTTAGAAACATGACGCTTGTTGACATTTTGGCCCGTGTATTACTAAAATGGTTAACCTCTTCCTACCAACTGGTGTGTTTCCCAATGTGCTTAAACAGGCCAAAGTGGAGCCATTACTGAAGAAAGCAGGCTTAGACCCAACGGACCTCAACTGCTTTAAGGTTGGTTTATGCTTGACGCGTCCGCGAGGTCCGCACGGCTCCGCGCGGAAAAGTTGCGTCATTTTGCATCATTTTAACAACCACGCCCCTCCACCGCGCCTCCGCACGGCTCAGAATTTCCGCAACGTGCACCTCGGAAAATTTCTAACCACGGGGACGGACGGACGCGGAAAAACATGGCGGACCGGCAAGAACTAGTACGGCAGAGGTTGGTAAATACAGACATTTGTATGATTCAGCTCTCAGAGATCACTGTGATCAACATGTTGTTAATAATTCTTGGAGAGAAATAGCTCGCACTGTCGGAAAAGACGAGGATGCTGTTAAAAATGCTGAAATGCCATGTTGTAAACAGTCATTTCTACTTCTACTATGGTGTAGTGTTAGATGCATGCCGTAGAGCTCCATGCTGCCCCCTACAGTTTGGTAGAATATTGGCTCACTGCAGAGACGCGCCCCACGAACCATAAACACTGCGAGTTGTGAAGCGCGTTCCATCCGCGAGCCGCATCACCAAGCGGAAAGTGAACGCGTCAAGCATAAACCAAGCTTTAGGCCTATTCCCAAGATTCAGTTTCTTTCTGAGATCCTTGAGAAGGTGGTCTACAAACAGTTGTCTTCCTCTCTGAATCAAAGTAACATCCTGGAGCCGTTTCAGTCCCGTTTCTGTGTACACCACTCTACGGAAACAGCTTTATTGAATGTGTTCAGCGACATTATGATGGCTGATGATTCCAGAATATACACTGTTCTGGTTCTCTTGGACCTGTCTTCAACAAAGTTGATCATCAGATTCTGCTGATGAGACTGAGGGATCAATTAGAACTATCAGGGACAGTTCTTCAGTGGTTCTCCTCCCACTTATCAGATTGTAGCTTTACGCCAGGATCACATCAGCCGCAAAGTGGATCGCTCACGAAATTTGCACGCTGCCTGCTGCTCCTCTGTTCACATCAGGCGAGAGTTTTTGACAAGCTTCTGCTCACACCTACTAATTTCCAGAATGCCCACTCACCCCCATGCCCTTGTGGTGTGTGTGTGTGCGCGTGCGTATGTCTGTGTGTGTGACCAGTTTCCCCTGCTTGTTGATATCAGAAACTGCGCTGATCCTGCTGCAGTTTTGTAGACCAGTTCCTTTCTAAATGTGTTTAATCAATTTCCCTCTGGGATTAATAAAGTATTTTTGAATTGAATTGAATTTGAATTGTGTAAGTAAATAACCTAGTGTTTGTGGTAGTGTACAATACTATTTTGAAATAAACATATATGTTTATATTCACATTTATTACGTCCATCTTTTGCTGTAAAAACTGCTTTTAAAATTATGGAAATGCTATGCTTATCTGCAGGAGTGTGTGTGTGTGTGTGTGTGTGTGTGTGTGTGTGTGTGTGTGTGTGTGTGTGTGTGTGAGTGTGAGAGAGAGAGAGAGAGAGAACAGTGTGTGGGTGTGTTTGTTTAAGTGGGCATGCAGGGAGGCATAGAGCAATACATTTACATTCAGTTGATTTAGTCCATGATCAAGAATGAATAAACATAAATTTTTCCATAACAGAAGCAGA